CCAGTGTGTGCTGTGATTGGCTCCACTCGGTGCCTGGTCGGGGAAATGTCGCCCCTTACCATAGCCGCCTGCGAGCTTCAGTGTAAATATTGCATCAAAATCAAATCAATTTGAGTGCGATTTAAACCCGGATGATTGTAACCACTCTTAAATTCGTCTGCGACATAGTGATAACACTCATTGCCTTCTCTAGTGCAGCTCAACCAGGTCTCGTCCCATTCGTCGGTATCTGTGATATCACAAATCCCGGAAAATATGCGTTGTAGTCCAAACGATTCATTCGTTGTAGTTTTTGAAAAGTGATTTCTGTTAAATAAAATATCTCCTTTTGAAGTGGACTTTGAGCTTTGTAACTTTGCAGATCTTTTTTATGCTCAAACAGCAACATTACAGACTAACTAAAGTTGAAAAAGTGAAAAAGCATAATAGGACCCTTTTAACAACTCCCTACTGAAAAAAAAAACTGCTAAAACCAGCCTAAGCTGATTGGCTGCTTTGGCTGGTCTCCCAAGCTGGTTTTAAAGTGGGTTTGGACACTTTTTTAGCAGGTCAGGCTGGTCTTAGCTGGTTTTCAGCATGTTTTTAGCTGTTTTTTTTTTTACTGAATCTACTGATTTTAGCTGGGTTTTAGCTGGATTAGCATAGAAAAATGCTAACAACATGCTAGTAACTTGCTAATCATGCTAGAAACATGCTAAAAACATGTTAGTAACTTGCTAATCATGTTAACAACACGCTAGTAACATGCTAAACATGCTAGTAACTTGCTAATCATGTTAACAACATGCTAGTACCTTGCTAGTCATGCTATCAACATGCTAGTAACTTGTTAATCATGTTAACAAAATGTTAACACCATGCTAGTAACATGCTAATTATGCTAGAAACATGCTAGTAACATCCTAATCATGGTAGAATCATGCTAACAACATGTTAATCATGCTAGAATCATGTCAACAACATGCTAGTAACTTGTTAATCATGTTAAAAACATGCTAGTAACTTGCTAATCATGCTAACAACAGGCTAATATGCTAATCATGCTAGAAACATATTAACAACATGCTAGTAACTTGTTAAGCATGCTAATAAAATGTTAACACCATGCTAGTAACATGCTAATAATGCTAGAAACATGCTAGCAACTTGTTCAACATGGTAACAAAATGCTAGCAACTTGTTAAACATGTTAGTATCATGCTAGTAACATGCTAATCATGCTAGCAACACTTTATTAACTTGCTAATTATGATAACAACATGCTAGTAACTTGCTAATCATGCTAGAATCATGATAGCAACATGTTAGTAACGTTGCCAATTATGTTAACAACATGCTAGTAACATGCTAATCATGCTAGAAACATGTTAGTAACTTGCTAATCATGCTAGCAACATGCTAACCATGTTAGAAACATGCTAGTAACATGCTAATCATGTTAGAAATATGCAAATCATGCTAGCAACATGCAAATCATGCTACAAACATGCAAATCATGCTAGCAACGTTAATCATGTTAAAAACATGTTAGCAACATGCTAGTCATGCTAGAAACAGCCTAGCAACCACCCCAGGTACCCTAACAATATGTTTTATACCTATCTGTTTTTCTGATAGTCTGTATTGCCTTGAAAACATTCAAACTTTAATCTTTAAAACTATTTTAACTTTCAAACTACTTCAAACTGAAAACTTTCAGACTGCAAGCTTTTAAAACTTTTTAAAACTTTCTAGCTAGGCTTTTTCAAGCCAACTTAAAGTTTGTCTACAAACTTTTCAATCTAGTTTCTAGTTAATATGTGATTTTATAGTGAATTTATATGGTGTTTTTTAAATACTAGACACTTTGAATGCATTTTTAATAACAGCCTTGTATGTTTATTTTGCCTGTTGAACAATAAATAAATATTAATCATTTTAATATTTTGTATTCAGTGCACAGTAAATTTGTTATGGGTTCTGCAAAACATTCATATGGAGTGTGTTTTAATTTCAGTGCGAATGCAAAGTCTACCGATAAAAAGGACACAATGAAAGCCTTCTGAACTGATAACGTGTTTGATGTCAGTTCTTTTTCATTAAAATATCTGGATTGCGAGGATTATGAAAGAAAAAAAGATCTCAAAGAGGAAAGTTTTTGTCAAGTTTTTTATTATAATTATTTGTTGTTTTGGCAATGTTTCCATGGGAACATGAGATGGCTGTAAAAGGACTCAGGGTTTAGAAGTTGAGTTCAAAAACCTGATGGTGTTGATAAGGGTTCCTCAAATCTTGCCCTGGAGGGCCAATGAGCTGCAGAGTTTAGCTCCAACCCTGATCAAACTCACCTACCTGTGATTTTCTAATGATCCTGAAAACATTGATTAGCATGCTCAGGTGGGTTTGATTAGGGTTAGAGCTAAACTCTGCAGGAAAGTGGATCTTGTGGGCCAGATTTGAGGATCCCTGGTGTAGATCAATGATGGTATAGAAAAACACCCTCTCTCTCTGCTCTTATTCCAGTGGCTTAGCCCCAAACTAGAGCTCCGTCTACTGAAACAGCCCCATTCTATTAATAATAGCAATTAATATCACAAGTGCCTCAATTATGCTGTCCCACACAGATGACAATTACATTTTCAGAAGCTGAGATTTTCATAGAAACATTCATTTTAAGTAATCAGAAGCTTATTATAATGTCAAACATAGATGGCCGAGCATATAAAAGACTGCCTTATTAATAATCCGCTAGTTTGAGATCAATTTCATTGTTAGTCTCAGTTGAGAATTCTTTACCAAACCAATGTTTGTGCAATGTTTCCCCTTTGCATAGTAAGTAAATGTTAACTGTTTTTCCTTTGACATGCAGATACCTTGAAAAGCGCAGCAGGCTGTGTGGGCTCCGCCCCCAGTGCAGTTACATCATGCAGCTCTCTGATTGGCCAGTGATGGCATTCAGGTCAGGGCAGACCTACAGGGCCCAGCCAGTTTAAAATTATTAATTTTTTTTTTCGTTTTTTTTTTTTTCTCAAGTGGAACAGTAAGTGACGTCATCAGGCATAAATATCAGTGGTGATTTCATCATGCAGCAGTATACGCTGCCGGCCAAATGGATTGATTTTTTTTTAACTTTTTGTTTGGGTTTCTTTGTTTCATTAATACTACAGAAAATGCCTGCAATATAACATGCTGAAATAACAAAAAACTTTAAAGTTAAGCCTTGAAATGTTTGTCCAATATGGGTCACTCTCATAGGGTGTGGTCATTTAGCCCCTTGAAAAACACATGGATATGTTACCAGCCTACTGGAACTTCAAATCATTCTTCTTTTTTAAATGAACAATAGTCATTGGTGTCCCTCCTCTGCCATGCGAGGTCCACAGCTGAAGCTGGTCATGCCTGGGTCAGAACTGGAGGTTGGGGCGTGTGAACAGGAAGTCATGCCCCGATGAGTGGTTCAGTGTGGATGCTCAGGGCCAGAGGGCAAAGGAACAGCGGTAGAGAAGCAGTTCTATGTGACTTTGGATGAAAAATGTTCGATCGTTCGGTCTCTTTCTTCTCTCGCTTTCTGTCCTTTTTTATTCAAGTAACGCCAACGCCGTCGGCAGCAGCGTCAGCAGCAGGAGAGGGTACAGTCCAGCGGGTTCTGACGGAACCCGGGGGCACACTAGGCAAGGATGCAGTTCTCTTAGCCTTTAGATGGCACTGGCGTTAGGGTCATATCGTCTTTTCTTGACATTTCTTGGTGATGAGGACAAACAGGACAAAACAAACGAGAGGGGGGTTAGTGCAGGCAATGCCAGAGACATCAACATACAATTTGCTGCCCATCTTACCGCCTTAACCCGCAGCAACCACATGGTAGTCGTTTTATTAACTTCTTAATCAATTCAAATCCTTTATCGAAATCTACCCATAACGTGTAGTTTAACTCCTAACGCCGTCGGGTTGCGGCGGGTACAAATGGCGGTTCTTCACAGCAGCAAGGAGAGACACAGAGTGTCCCTCCACTGACTGCGGGTAAGTATGTGTTAGAAAGACAACAAGGGATGTGAAAAAAGAACATTACCTCCTGGGAGAAAACACGAACATTGACATAGAAAACAGTAAGAAAGAG